CCTCCCTTCACACCCACTCACTCCCATCCTCTTCCTTACCACCCTCTTGCATGAACCCAGCAACCAATGGACAGTAACGAGGATGATCCAGAGCTGATACTCTTTATTCCGTGAGTCAGTCTGCCTGTTTCAGTATTTCTCTGTTGTTTGGGATTTTTTAGTTGTGGATTCAACATCAATGATTTGGATGGAGCTCGATTTCTCCACTCTGTGATTGTGTAATTCCTTCGGTTTTGGATAATGCATGATTCAGGTCTTGTCTCTCTTACTGAAGAGGGCTTTCCATTTGGTTGAGAAGATTAAGGGCAGTGCAGTGAAGGGCACTCTTGGTGCCGCTGTATTCATTTGCAACTGCTGTACTGTACTACTGTTCTACTGTACTAATGTGTGCAGATTCACAACCGATGTGAAGATCAAGAGCATCGCCATTATTGGGGGAGCAGATGGGACCAGCCCTGCAAAGATGCGAGCGTAAGTGTATCTTTCTTAGTGCATCTTCCTGTAACAGCATGATTTCAAATATCAATGATAAACTTTAGATCCATTTTCCTCCACTTCTCTCGCTTCACCTCACTCTCCCCTCTCCTTCCATCTCTCTCCAAGCAGCTTCATAAATCGTGAGGACGTTGATTTCTCTGTGGTTAATGATCTGACTGCAGTGCAGGTAACATTTGATAGTCACTAAGGTAACATCTCTCACCCAAGTGTATGTTTTTTGGTGACCACAGATCACTGCACGACTTACAATGTTTTCCACACCTCTTTTTTTTTGTTACGCACACAGATTTTTATCCGTTGATGCATCTGTCACCTATACGTGTGTCTGATTGTTTGTGGCCAGGAATGGGATCTAACTGAGGACCTTCAAGGCGAGCTCGAGTACACCACCAAGTAAGGCCATTCGCCCTTATTGTAGCCATCTCATCGGTATTCTTCTTATGACAGTGAAACTATTTCCCTGAACAAGTTCATAAACATGGCCACTCGTGATGTATCCATTACTATGACGTCTAATCGGTGCGAATATCCGTCACACATTGGTGTGAGCATTGATTGCGTCAAACGAATGTTACCATTTCATGTCAGGGCAAACCGTGTTACATCTCATTGACCCAAATTCTGCGGAAGTCCGCTTTTCCCCCATTTCATTTTCCCAGTGAGTGGTGTGTCCCTTTCTTTACTCCAGTTCTCCGCATCCCATCCCATCTCCCCTTATCCTCCACTCCAGTCACCTCACCCCCATCCATTCCTGTTCGTCCCCCAATTCCGTCCTTCCTCTCCCTCCCTCCCCTCTCACCAGATTCTCCAAGTTCCAGGGCGTGTCCTCTCTCACCCTCCATTTCCCTTCAAATTTTGGGGGTGATTTCTCTCGGATCCACTTCGTGGGACTCAAAGGAGAGGCCACTCAGGTATGGGAGGAGTAGGAGTCGTAAGGAGAAAGTTGAGAGAGGTGTGTAACAAACGAATGCTGAACGGGCCACTCAGGTTTGGGAGGAGGAGTTACAAGGAGAAAGTTGAGCGACGGCCTAAGAGTTACGAATGCTGGATGAACTCCAGGGATCAGCTACTCAGGAAGAGGAGTAGGAGGAGTATGGCTAAAAAGGATTCGTATTTGTGAGAGGAGGACTGGTGGGCTGGCGAGGACAGGATTCATCTTTGTAGCCCTGGAGGCACCTGCCTGTGTTGTCTCATTCGTGCCACCATACACACATGCCCCCCTTCCCTCCCACCTCCTACCCTTTCTCCGCCTGGTGCGTGCTCAGAACAATCGGAGAGCGGTGGCTGCAGTTGTGTACGAAGCACAGGCCAACCCCAGTGACCATGAGTAATCACACATGGCTTCAACCAAACACACCAACCACCCACCATTGTTCACCTCTTCACACCCGCGTCTGTCCCTTGTGTACCATAAAATTTGGAATGGTTTCGGCTGCACCCGTACTGGTTCCAGAATTCACAGCCCACAATGACACCCTGTTTTGTTTCTCGTCTTTTACCTATCTGGGCTGCCCCTTGTGTTTTGTGGAATGATGCTTATGAGCGAAATTGTGCCTGTGTTGGTTCTTTTCATTGTGTTTCTCAGGGTTCCGGCTGACATGGGAGTCCCCAAGGTGCTCCATCATTAGGTATAAAGTATACAGGGTCTCCATCTTTTGTGGGTGTGGGCTCATATGATATCTCTCTGTTTAGGAATTAGGGTACTCAGATTCTAGCTCATTGCTTACAAGGGGTAATTTGGGGGTATTTTTGCCCCTTTCCTAACAAGGTAAGATATTTTGGCTCGAACTAAAGCCTTTTCAATTTGCAATGTGCAACGATTTGTATGAGCATATGGTTATCTTTCTATGTTCAGTAATGTAACAGATTTGTCGAACACAATTATGAAGCACAACGGATAAATTGGATGTGGCTAGTACAGCGTACAGCGAACGTGTCGTTCTGAGCGCGATAGCAAAACGCCAGAAATATTGTGTCAGCCACCAGGCACCTGAGAACACAGAAATAGAACCGACAGGCACACTCGGTAGGTGCGTCGCCATGCTACGCTCATTCGAGCAAGGCTTTGAGTATTATTTTTAGAAGAAGGGGTTCCATATCCTCTTACGGGTATGCTCTAAGATCTTAGCAGGCGAAAAAGGCTCTCCAAGCATCGAGAATGAGGCTCAGGCTACACAATGTGGGTCGTGGATTCTTGGCGTCGTTCGCGATTCAACTATTTTTCCTTGTTTTCGCGTCTGCTGAGTCTTTTGATGCATCTTCCATCGGAGTCTGTTGGGGAAGAGTAGCATGGCAGCCATTACCTCCCCGAATCGTTGTGAAGCTTCTTCAGGTAGGTGTACTATTTCGTTTCCTTAACATGATCCGTACTTAGGATGTGCGTCCGATTCTTATAGCTTCTCTACAGGACAACAAAATATCGAAAGTGAAACTTTTCAATGCTGACCCGCAAGTCATGAAGGCCCTCGTTGGGTCCAAGTTGGAGGTAGGTTTCCTTTTCCCCTGCATTTTGCAACGTCCTTCTGCTCGGCAGTGTCCCTGATTTCTTTCTCATTAGGTGACTGTGATGGTAGCCAATGAGCTGCTGAACGACATGGCCATGAGTCCTAAGAAGGCTCAGGACTGGGTTGACTATAACGTCAAGAGATACGCGTTCCCAGGAGGCGCCGATATAAGGTAAGATTACCACCACTTTGCCAAGAGGCATGTTGAGCCCTTCGTCTGCGGCTAAGCGTGAACCTCTTTTCGTCTCAGATACGTCTCTGTCGGAAATGAGCCGTTTCTGACATGGGACAATGGAGAGTACAACCTCGTTTTGGCGCCAGCCGTTCAGAACATCTATGACTCTTTAAAGGCTGCTGGATTGGACCAGAAGATTAAGGTTACTGTCGCGTTCAATGCTGACGTCATGGGAACGTCATACCCTCCATCTAAAGCATCTTTCCGGCCAGACATCGCCAATCAGATGCGAAGAATTGTCTCACTATTCAGTGAAACCGGAGCCCCGTTTTCCGTAAATATCTACCCATTCCTTAACTTATATCAGCAACCAGGAGTCTTCACAATGGGTGATATTTTCCTGGATAGACTGAACGAGCGGAACTTCACAGACCCAGGGACTGGCTTGGTCTACACGAATGTGTTCGACAGCACTTACGATGCCATCTTGACAGCACTATCAAGGATCGGCTTTCCAGATGTAAGAGATCAAGTCTTTTTTCTCTGGTGTACCTTGTGGCATACTGACCGCTCCACTTGTTTGCTCACAGCTACAAATCATTATTGGTGAAATTGGCTGGCCTTCTGATGGGCAAGGTTCACTCAATGCATATGCCAACAATGCGTATGCACAAGAGTTCAACAATGCCATCATCCAGCACATGTTAAGCGGATCAGGCACGCCTTTGCGCCCTGCCAAGCAGATTGGAGGATTCATTTTTGGGTTACTGGATGAAGACATGAAAAGCACACTACCTGGAACCTTTGAGCGCCATTGGGGAATCTTCCGTGCCGATGGAACCCTAAAATACAACTTAGACCTCACAGGGAAAGGCAATCCGAATGCTCAGCTTGTGCCAGCAAAGGACGTGTCTTTCTTTTCACGACAGTGGTGTGTGGTGAAGCAAGGAGCCAACCCTGCAAATGTTGCAGCTGCTTTGACATACGTCTGTGGGGGGGATAAAAGTGTGGATTGCACTCCAATTCTTCCAGGAAGTTCATGCTACTTCAACAACAAACTGGAGGACGTTGCTTCATACGCTTTCAATTCATACTACCAGCTTCAGAACCAAAGCCAAGCATCCTGTGACTTTGGGGGTTCTGCTCAGGTTGTCAGCACTGATCCATCAAAGGATGGGTGCATCTTCTTTAATGGCATGGATCAAGCCAGCATGCTGAAAGCCTCTTCAAGGAAACACTGGATCACTCTGACACATGCAGCCTTTGGCAGTACCTTGGCAATGCTGCTGATATGGTTCCTTTGATTTATGCAAAGGGGGGGTGATTAACCAGGCACCACAATCACAGCCTTGTTTTAGAACCAAATGCACCTGTCTGACATGTTCTGAGAGGGAAGAATTGAGTGGAATGGTCAGAGTTGGCTTAGGGTAATGGTGAATGTTTTACGTTTGTGTGTGGCAGGTAGGTGCTGCAAGGTTATGGTGCTACCGGTACTTTACAGTACTGCTGATAACAAGCAAGTATGCACTGTTCAGACATTGAGAGAACCTGTCTGTCACCTAAAGCAAATACGGTACGGTACATGTGATCATGTCCTGTCACCACCACAGGCTGTAATTGTAGTGTAGTTGCTTGTTTTTATGAAAAGGCAAGTGTTTACATGCTGCAATATCAAGATTGTTATACCGTAGGTCATGTTAGAAAATCAGTGGGATGGGAAGCCTAGCAGTCAGTACGAGCAATGCAAAATTGAACACCAGTGTAGCGTAAACAGGCATCCGAACCCAGGCGAATTATATCAGTAGATGTACCAGTATGTTCTATCACCATTGATATGAAGGCAGGTAAGGTGGGGGAGTCACAGCTTCTCCCGCAGGTGGGGACAAGAATGCAGGTGAGGGAGGAGGGGGATACGCAGGCGGGGGAGGAGTGAAAGGTGGTGGTGCTGCTGGGAGAGGTGGAGGCGGAGAAGATGCAGGATAGGGGTATAATGGAGGGGGAGGTCCGGGAGGCAACGGGGGATAAGAAGAGCTGTCAGGCAGGGGAGGGGGAGGGCCAGCAGGAAGAGGCGGAAGAGGAGGATGGTTGGTTGTTCCAGGCGGGTAGAGTGTTTGTGATGGCGGGAGGTAAGGCATAGGAGCGGGAATTGCAGTGGGCTGGGTAGGAGGTGGGGGCTGAGGAGGATAGATCACAGACTGGCCATGACTGTACGTATACTGCAATGGTACTTGCGAATATCCTGGAGTCTGGGTGAAAGCTGCTGCTGCTCCGGAATAAGTGGTGGTTGAAGGTGGTGCTTCAGCGATAGCTCCTCTTGCTGCTGACCCTTGATTGTAGTCTTGGTACGTGTCCAGCTGCACATCACCGCCACCATCATCGCCACACTCACTCTCAATCCCAGCCGCCCATGACAGCACCGCCGAACTAGCACTAGCACCGACAACCCCCCTTGCGTCTTTAACCACTCCCACAATCCCTTCCCCCCTTGGAGGGGCAGCCTCAAAAGCAGAGAGAAAAGCAGAAGGCGGACTGGTAGCAGCACCACACGCACCTCCATATCGATCATTGGCTGAATCATCATGTCGCCGTGATGATGTGTCGTAGCGGGATTGGTCCAGATAAGCCCCGTAGGAGCTGCTGCTGCCCACATGCCACCTGTCACGATCCAACTGCCACCGGTCAGAATCTGTGTCGCCAGCTCTGCTTCTCTCTCTTCCCTCATATGCACCTCTGTCATCCTCATGCCTAATAGGGCTCCACTCCTCCCTCCTCTTCTCATCCGCGTCCCTCTTTCTGTCGCTGCTCCTGTCTCTGTTCCTCTCCCTGCTCCAATCTTTGCTCCTCTCCTTACTCCTGTCTCTGTTTCTGTCCCTGCTCCTGTCTCTTCCTCTCTCCTTGCTTCTGTCTCTGCCCCTTTCCTTACTCGTCTCTCTTCTCCTCTCTCTGCTTCTCTCCTGCCGCCTCTCCCTGCTTCTGTCCCTTCCTCTCTCTCTGCTCCTGTCTCTGCCCCTCTCCCTGCTCCTGTCTTTGCCCCTCTCCCTGCTTCTGTCTCTGCCTCTCTCCCTGCTTCTGTCCCTTCCCCTCTCCTTGCTCCTGTCCCTTCTTCTGTCTCTATCCCCTTCCCTGTCCTTCTCACCATTCCTATCCCTTCCCGACCTTCCCTCCCTATCATTCTTACCTCCCTCTCTCTTCTCATCAGCAGAACCATCCCTAGCCATTCTCCTCCGCTTCCTCTCCCTCTCATCCTCATCCTTCCTTCCCTCCTTACCCCTCTCCCTCTCCTCCCTCTCTCGCCTCCTCCGCCGTTCCTCCTCCCACCTCTCATCCTCATACCTCAACCTCCTCCTCCTCTCACTCTCCTCCCAATCCGCCCGCCACCCCCTCCCTCCCCACGCATATTCATCCGCACCCTCAGGAGGAGGGGCATTCAGACCCGGAAACTCGACAGTAGGAACAAGGAAAGGTTCCGGTTCAGGAGTAGTTCCACGCCCCCCCTCCCCATCACCACCACCATCAGCATCAAGGGAACCTTCCTCAGAAGCATCGTCCAGCACAAGAGCAAGGGACTTGAACTCATTCGAATCTTCAACAGCAGCAGCAGCAGCAGCAGCTTTCTCGTTGACTGGTTTTCCTTCAGCGTTGGTCTCTGCTGGGATTTCTCCTGCCTCGCTATCAGTGTCCTCTCCCTCCTCCTTCGAAGCCTTCTCTGCTCCTGCTGCTGGTTCCTGGCCTTTCACCTCTGCCTTCTCCTCCTCTTGATCTGCTCATCAAAACACACACAGGAGCAGTCTCTGGCAGGAAGCATGAGGGCATCACTGCAGTTGAGCAGATTTGAAACAAAAAGAGGCTGGGAAAGAAATGGAAACCCGGAGAAAAAGCTGGTCAAAGGGAGGAACAAATCAGCTCCAGACAAAAATACAGGAGGGAGAAAGGGGGGGGGGGGATTGGGAGAGAACGCAATGAGCTAGAGGCCTAAGGAATCGCCCAGCCGAAGAAACGAGACAGTTTACAGCCTGGATAGCCAGGCGGGTGGCCTGGCTCTCAAATTGGGTTTCAAATTGCTCATCTTGAGATAGATCTTGAGTCAACTCCATCTAGTCGGGGCAAAACTTACAGCCAAGATAGCCAGGAGGGTAGCCCAGCTCCCTCATTCGCCTGAGCCATGGAGGGGGGTCACGATCCTGGAGAGGAGGCGGGGATGAAAGGAAGCAAAGGGGGATGTAGAGAGTTGCGTTTTCATGGCCACAGCGAGCAAACCAGGATGGTACCCCAGTTCCCTCATTCGCCTGAGCCACGGAGGAGGGTCGCGATCCTGCAGAGGAGGGGGACACAAAAAGCAATGGAGATTTGTGAATGGGGTTTATGGTGATTAGGCAGGAGAGAAGGAGGTGCGTGAGGAGGGAGGGGGGAGGAAAGCATCCCTATGTCCATGGTAACACACAGCTCCGCACGCACTCAGCACACCTGGCAGCAGCCCCTGAACCTGAACCTGAAATATCCTCCATCCCTCCTTGAGCCTCACCTTTACCAGCGCACAAACTCACCTCAAGTCCCCTAGCTTATACCAAATCACTCACCCCTATGCCCATGGCAGCACGCAGTTCCACACTCAGCACACCCGGCAGCAGCCCCTGAACCTGACCTGGACCGCCCCCTCCATCCGTCCTCGAGTCTCACCTTTACCAGCAGCAGCACGCACAAGCCCACCTCAAACCCATCTCACGCATGCCGAACCACTCACCCCTATGCCCATGGCAGCCCGCAGCTCCGCACTCAGCACGCCCGGCACGAGCCCTTCAAACCGCTCCTCCATCGATCCTCCTCTCCCCTTCCCACCCCCTGCCCCTCCAAACCCGTAATACCTCGACTTCCCCACCCCTCCCTCCCCAGCAGCACTGTTCCCGCCCTTCCCACCCTGCCCGCCCTGCCCCTTCCCCCCTGCGTGTTCTGCCCGGGCAGCTGCTACAGCTGCATGGTCCCTTGGGCGCTGACAGTCCCGCAGGGCGTGAGTGTAGGAACCGCAGTTGAAGCAGCGGGCGGCAGATTTTAACTTGAGCGCCTCTTCTGTGAGGGAGGAGTCGGAGTGGAGGAAGAGGGGTGTGAGGCTGGAAAGGTCTCCTCCTGCTGCTGCTGCTGCTGCTGCTGCTGCTGCTGCTGCTGCTGCTGCTGCTGCTGCTGCTGCTGTCGCTCCTGCCGCTCCTGCTGCTGCTGCTGCTGATGCTGTTGCTGCTTCTGTTGCTGTGTCAGAGGGAGCGTTAGCGTCATTTTCTGTCTCGTTACTGCCTGCACCTACACCGGCGCTCCTGCTGCTGTTGCTGCTGTAGTTGATGCCTAAAACGACGCCTGATTCTGACCTATCATAGAGAGGCACGTCGTTGGCTGTGCTGTAGTGCTTATTGAACGTGACACCACTGCGAACCCCTGCCAGAACCACACCGCTGCTGCTGAGCTTTGCCATTGCTGCGTCACTGGCAACAACTGCGGCAGCAGCTGCAGCAACAGAGCCTGCAACAGCAGTGCTCACAGCAGCACTGGGCAAGGACTCATCACCAGTGGAATCTTCAGCAGCAGCAGGGACACCAGCAGCTTGGCCATCACCACTACGAGATGCCACAGCACCTGCCGCATCAGCACCAGCGTCAGCACGTGCATCCACAGCCGTAGCGGCACCAGCAGCACCAGGAGAGCCAGTAGAAGGTTCAGCCGCAGCAGATGGCGGTTGTAATTGCTTTGGAGGAAGTGAAGTGGAGGGCAGGGGCTTGGGTGGGGGTAGAGAAGCCCATACACGCTGCATGGGAGGAGCAAGGAGGGGAAAGGAAAGGAAAGGGGAGACGAGAAATCAAAGAGGTGAGAAATTGAAGGGAAAGAAACCGACTACGCACGAGAAAGCACGCACGCACATCAATCCAGAAAACTGGCCAGCAAAAAACACATTGGTCCAGTGTACGAGTTTAGTATACCCCGGACTGTATGCAAGGCATGTGGGCTCAACCAGGATGAAATGTATCACTCGAATTTTCAGGGCGTGAACGAACGTAACTAGGCATCCGCTCGCCCGTAGCCAAAACAACACGAGGTCAGCCAAGACCTTTCAGACCACCAAGAAGAGAGAAAAAAAAAACCATGATTGGTGCTACAGCAAACGCCGATCCAATCCAGCCACCAAAAAAAAAAAAAAAAAAACCCACCACAAAAAGAAAGCAAGCAACCCACCAGTGGTGCTATGGATCCACGCTCTGAAGCCCCAGGAGAGCGAAACGAACCCAAAGGACCAAGGCGAGAGAGCACAGAGGGGACTGCTGCAGAGGAGGGCCCAGAGGAAGGGAAGTAGACGTCCGTTCCACTCAGCCTTGTGCTCTGATGCTCCTTCTGACCCTCGCGTTCCTGCACGTGCCATCCATAAGATAGAGGAGAGGAGAGGAGAGGAGAGGGATGAAGAGAGAAGAGGAGATAAGACGAACAAGAGGAAGCCACAAGCTGCAATTGGTCCAGTGGTAGATGGCAGCACGGGATGATACATTATAGTTTCAAATTACAGGAGAAAGCCTTTGGTTGAGCAGTGTATTTGTGCTTACAGTGGATTAAAATTATTCTCAAACATGATCGGGTCTGTGGTCAGGTTACAGTGGATATAGTCTGTGCTTACAGCGAAAGGGGTTTGAGTGGACTCCCATGATGACCACGAGGACAGAAGGTTCTGAAGATGGTCCAAACTTGCTCTGAGATCACATCAAAATTGCACATTCGCAGACATGTCAGGCGCATCACAACAGGCGCAAGGCCAGTCACAGACATAGTCACAGTCCAGTTTGCCAAAGATCATGAGCATAGGAGGATGGAATATGCATAACTACAGGGTCTTTAGACAGCCTTGCATCACCTTGCCTCGGTAATTCATACAGAGATATGATTGGCACAAGACCAGCAATGAACCTACTGCACGCGTTTCTTGTAAAGAAGGCATGAATGTTGGACAAAGGCCACATGAATGACAGACAAATGTCACGTGAATGTTAGACGTCCTCTCAGTGTCAGAAAAATGCGATGTAGTCATATATATGTCACGTAATGCCAGACAAAAATGTAACTTCAAATGTCAGGCAACGATGTCAGGAAACGTCAGACTAATGTCACATGAACATCAAACAAATGTCACATGACTTTCACTTCACACAAGTCTCAGTGCTTACTTTGACAGATTCTCGTAGTGCACACGCACATATGGCCCTTTCTCCCAACCTCGTCGTCGCTTGCGGTGGTGGTGGTGCAAATGGGGTGCTTGTGATGCACCCTCCATAGTACCCACACTCAACTCGGAGTAGTCACCGCCGAGTAACTGCTAACAAATCAAGGGAGGAAACAAGTCACGGTTTCCGGTAATTAAATTATGGGTGATCAAATAAACAAACACGAGAACATCTAGCAAAAAAAACAAGAATAGCGAAATTGGCTGGAGTAGCGAGAAGAAACAGGAATATCCGACTAACTGAGTGGAGAATGTAGCGACGAGAAAATAAGTAATGAGATGAGAAGAAGGGTTGAGAGGAGTAGAAAGGCATCGTAAAAGGAAAGCGAAGCGCGATGAAGGTCGGATGGTTCGAAACAAGCATGGTATGATGAACTGACATTGACAACTCGAAGATCGTCACGGGTTTGGAGAACGCGAGAAAAACACCAACACGAAGCTTGCAGACTGGCTAAGGAGGAACAAAAAGCGCACGAAAAGCTAAGTATAGACAGACGCTAGGAGCCGACGACGCCACTCTTCAACTAATCGAACCAGGAGTTAGGAGTTCAGATTAGGACGACCCGAAACGAGCTCCCTGCGAGTTCATGTATGGCTGTAGGAGATCGATAAGCGGAGACTACTGATGGAAAAAAAGACCTACGGCATGTGAGAAATCAGAAGCTCGGATTATTTACAGCAGTTCAAAATCAGGTCAGGAGTGATCACCTTTTCACCGTGTCTTGCAGGAGGGTTAGAGGCATTTCAGTAGGTTAGAGCAATATAGCATAGATGCAGTGTGGCGACGAGTCGACCTTACACCACCTCGAGATTACTACCCGCGTGGCGCAAATAGGTCACCTCTTTCCGTTAGTGTGGTTGAGAAGTTTGCTTCGGATTCCTGATGGTTTACAAGGGTGTTGAGACGGTTAAGTAAGTTGTGATCTTCGATCGCGGGTGGGGGAACTGATTACGTCCGATCTGGTTTCGGAGCGTTCGTTTTGACAAGATCGAGGTGGCTTCTTGTTACGGGTGCAATGAATCGAAGTAGCGAGAATTGCACTAAGGTGTCAAACGAGTACAAAATGTGAGCGAAGGCATGAGCGAACATTTATGCGCGAAACATGCAAACGGTAACGCGGTGCGTGCGAGCTAGCTAGTGCTATGCTGGAAGCGAGGCTCGGGCTAGTCCCGAAGCGTAGGCCGACACGGCCAGGCCAGCAGTGCGAGGTTTGGTGAAACAGTGCGCGCGAAGTCGGCGAAGTCCCGTTAGCAGTAACGGGCGAGCAACGGCTGTTGCTGTACGCGATGTTGCAGGGCGCGCTAAGGAATATCGAGAAAATTCCTTACACTACCCCCCCCCCCCCCCCCCCTCAAGAAGCCTCCTCTGCTACGTGAGTGCGTGTATATCGCAGAAACCCCGGCTCCTCATGTACACTTGCAGGGCAGGGTGGTTTACGATGTTGGCCACGGGCACCCAGCTATCTTCAGTTGGCGTGCGATCCTTCCAGCGAATGCGGAATTCAATCCTCCTGATTCCTGTGGGGTGTCAAATCCGATGGATCGGGATTTTTTCGGGCTCGATGATCGGCTCCGATGCAGGGCGAGTCATGGATGGCGGGCGGTGACGAGGCAGTTGGCTTGAGGTTGGGATGTATGGGCAAAGCAGGCTGACGTGGAACGAAGGGCTGATATACCAGTCCGTCGGCAACAGTAGGTGAGCTTTCACTGGGGTAATCATGTGGCTGATTTGGAATAGTCCACAGTAGCAGGGTCGTAATTTCGGTACGACGTGCAGTTTTAAGTTATGTGTGTCGAGCAGTACGTAATCCCCTGACTGGTACGTGATTGGGCGGCGGTGGCGGCCAGCTTTGCGTTTAGCGATGACGTCGACTTTTTTAATTGCTTCAGCGGCTCTGGTGCAGGCAGCTTGCAGAATTTCGGCGAATTGCTGTGCACGTGGTGTTGGGTTTGTTGGAAACAATGGAACTTAAACGCTTCAGCAGTGTCAAAACATTGCACCAGAAGCGAGGCAACCTACACCGAAGCACCTGCGAGTCAACCCTCGGAGGTTGAATCGGCTGCAGGAAGTTACGCGAAAGTCAAAGGTCGCTGACCCTTGACCTGACAAGAACAGCGCGACAGTTAAGGACACACAACTGACTCGTTACAGAGCAGTTGCCCGAGTCGCACTGTATCGAACCGCAACAGCAACAGTAAAAGTAGTTATAACCGTATCTCTTCATATTCCCTGTATTATTATATAAGCTTGTATCATTTCAATATAATTCAATCTACTTTGCTCTCATACACTAGTGCAAGGTCGGTTCACAAAGCTTCATTAAACGCTTCCGCTATTACAAAGTATCCTACCCAGAGTTATCCTCTGTAAAGATCCTTAGGGCCTTTTCAGCCCAACATGGTATGAGAGCATACAGGGGAAACTCTACCTTTTCAAGATCATTACAAGACATGGCAACAAACAAGGAAAGGAGCTCCCCTAATGGCTCCTCGGGCACTACTCCTACTCCACCGCCAGCCTCTGGTCTGCAGACAGAGGAAGGCACGGCAGCAAGACCAAGGGGAACGTCAACCGAGACCCCCACGAACCATCCTTCTGACTTTGATCAGAGCATGATGGAGAAATTCTTCTCCTTCATGTCCTTCTACGAGCAACACCAGCAGTCGGGACCTGCACAGACACACAACAGCAACAACGGAGCGACACCCATGAGCCTTGATGGGTCGTCATATGCGCGAGGGAATCAACAGCAGCAACCCACCTTCGCCCCGTACGAGCGCGGGTCGATCAGCTTCCTGCCTCAACCTCCACCTGCGCAAGACAAACCAATGGACGCATTACAAGTTCAGTCGCAATTCGCGCATGTCTTGAAACTGCAAACATCAAGACCTTTTGACGGAAAGGACTTCTTCACCTGGTCCTTTGAATTCGAGCTAATGATGGAGGGCGCGCAGATACTCGGTTTCTTCGACGGATCCCTGCAGTATCCAGCAAACGGCACACAGTATGAGAAGCGGCAGTATACGTATCAATCGATGATGGCGTATACTATTCTACTGAGAAACATCACACCAACTCAGCAGCAGAACATTCGCTCTTACCGGACCTTCGGCAACTCGGCGGAACTCGCGTATGGCCATCTGAAGAACCTGTATCAAGCAACAAACAGTGTAAACCAGAGCAGGTTAATGGCGCAGTTGACAACAGTTGAAATGAAACCAGGAGAAAAGGGGTTGGCGTATATCAGTCGATGTCGCGAATTGCGCGACAAGCTTCTTCGATGCGGAGGACCAATCTCTGAAGACGCCTTCGTAACAGTCATCATCGGTGGCCTCGGTCCTCAGTGGCGCGCCACCAAAGCAATTCTTCGAGCCCACGGAAGAATTTCTGAAGCAGCACTCTGCGCCGAAATACACGCCGAGCAGCAGGACATGGATCTGCAAGAAGAACGACACAAACGAAAGACGACAACGTCAGAATTCGCTTTCCATACTCAGCGACGACACAACAACTACAACAACCGACAGCAGCAGCCGAAGCCAGTACCTCCGTTTTGTCACATCTGCAAGACATCAGGGCACCCACGCATGCACTGCCCGAATCGACAACAGTTAACTGCCTTGCAGTGGCAACTACGACCTTCAAGCAGTCAAGTGACTTCAACACAGGCGAACCCGACGACTCAGGTCCAAGCCTCAACTTCACCGGGACAACCTGCACAAGGAGCAAGAAACATCATCAGCTGCATGGCAAGACTGAGCGAATCCTGCATCACCGATTCACCGCCACATTACTCACCAGAAGACCATCTCGATAACACCACACCTCGCCGCGAAGCACTCAAACCAAATCCAACGTACGCCGCCATCGCCCAAAGCGAGCCTTCAGGGACAGACACGTGGTTCTTGGACAGCTGTTGCGGACAGCACATGTGCTCTTCAGGACGCTTCGTACAACAAGAATACCAGCTTCAACGGGAAGTCGTCATAACCGTCGCCAACAACCAGAACCTGCGCACACGACGGCAAGGAATCGTACAACTTCAGTCGCGAGAGACAAACGTCATACTACAGATGTCAAAGGTTTTAATTGCAGAAGGCCTCGGCTACAACTTACTGAGTGTCAGTCAACTGATGGCGAAAGGTATTCACCTCGAAGCAGACAGCACAATCCAGGAGTTCAAGTTGTATCATGGGAGAGGAGGTCTCTACATCGGGAAGGCGGTCCTCAAGAACAACGTCTTCGTCTTGGACTTCGTTCCCGATCTTGGCACCGCCGACAGTGACGCCATAGTTAACTTCACCAAGTGGACACACCCTCCGGACCTTGACCCTGACTTCAGTCCGGGCGGCTTCTGGTATTCGTATACCATCCCTGAGACAGAGCGAACAAGGGCATTAGCAACAACATCGGCAGCAGCAGAGACAACATCGGGAGCAACAGGAACAACATCGGCAGCAGCAGAGACAACATCGGGAGCAGCAGGAACAACATCGGCAGCAGCAGAGACAACAACGGCACCAACAACAACACCAGTCGCTGGTCCTTCAACGGCACCAGTCCTCGTTGACGACGCTTCACCGACACCTGCACAACAGTTTCAGCCAGCACCACGAGAGTTTCATCACAGCCCCAACTTCACCACCAGCTTCTACTCCAACTCGGATCTGTACCGACGATCACCCGGACACCGTGCCGACGAAGCAACCTGGCACGCAAGAATGGGACATCCAAGCAACACAGTGTTAAACAACACAATACGAGCAGGAGTGCTCAACAAAGACTCACTCCTATTAACCAACGGACAAGAACTCCAACGCGTACGCGGCACATGCTTCACCTGCCCAGAAGGAGACCTACCTCATCTGTCAGATTTATATGACATATTTGCTGTAGGCTATAGTGGGGTAGCACATATGGGGTACAGGGTTTCTAGGGTTGTATTTGTACCCAATCTTTCCTTAGTCATTTCATTCCTGTTTTCCTTGCTTCACATGGTATAGAGCGGGTCCTGCCTTAGGACCGTTTTTTTAGGGCCCACCGAAGCGCGCCCCGAGGCGCGCCTTTTTTTTTAGCGACCCCTCGGGTCGCCTTTTCCCTCGCGGCCCCGCTGTCCCTCAGACGCGGCCCCGCCACCTCTCCTGATCGCGGCCCCGCCGCCTGCTTGACGCGGCCCAGCCGCCTCCCCTGACGCGGCCCCGCCGCCTCCCCTGACGCGGCCCCGCCGCCTTCCCTGACGCGGCCCCGCCGCCTCCCCTGACGCGGCCCCACCGCCTCCCCTGACGCGGCCCCGCCGCCTCCCCTGACGCGGCCCCGCCTCTACTGCCGAGGCCCCGCCGCCGCCTCTGACGGCCCAGCCGCTGCATCCTACCGGCCCGCCGCCTCACCTGACGGCCCCGCCGCTGCTCCTGCCGGCCCGCCGCTGCTCCTGCCGGCCCGCCGCTGCACCTGCCGGCCCGCCGCTGCACCCAGCGGCCCGCCGCCTCTGACGGCCTCGCCGCTGCACCCTACGGCCCGCCGCCTGCACCTGCCGGCCCGCCGCTACACCTGCCGGCCCGCCGCTGCACCTGCCGGCCCGCCGCTGCACCTGCCGGCCCGCCACTGCACCGGTCGACCCGTCGCTGCACCTGATGGCCCCGCCCCTGCATCTCCCGGCCGAGCCGCCCCAGCAGCCGAACCGCCCGGGAGCCGAGCCGCCCAACGCCGAGCCGCCCGGGACCCGAGCCGCCCTGCCGCCGAGCC